AACAAACTAGTACTATTCTTTGAAGTAAATTTAAATAATATAATAGATAATGCAAAATTTCATAAAGCAGCTGCAGTACTTCAATTGCTAAGAGAAAAAAATATTATTCTATTAAAAATATTACAAGTTTTTAGTACCATACTCTCTTGAATCGAACCCAATCGAGGAGTTCTTTTCAATGTTAAAATCCAATTTTAAATCCAAAAGAAATGATAATCCCGATATGACATTGAAAAAACTCTAGAATATATTTTATAACCTGATAATAATTGTAGTCAACAGTGTAATGTCTTTTATATAAATATGAGAAGATCGTTCGAAAAGGCAATAAGAAGAGAAGAATAATAAAATATTTGAAATGATTTGTTTATTTTTTTTTAATAATGTATGATTAAAAAATTTTATGATTAAATAATGTATACTATTTTTTAAAATTTTATGATTAAATAATGTATACTATTTTTTAAAAATTATGAAAGTATCTAATCTAGAAAAGTTATTGATATATAACAATATGCTAAATTAAGTATAAATGTAAAGAATTTTCACTAATAAATCGCTTTTTTTTTTTTTTTTTTTTTTTAAAAAAACACCACTTTTCGATTGCTATGATGTAATTTATTTTAATATTTTGCGCAATATTTTTCATTTTTTAAAACTAAAAAAAATAATTTCCAAAAATATATATTTGCACTTACAACTTTGCAAGCGTGCACTTATAACTTTGCAAAACTCTGTAGGTTATACAAAACACAACGCCATTCAAACCACGAAATTAATTGTCTTACACTATACAATATACGATAATATCAACGATGAATTAAAGGAGAGGGGGCAACTAGGGGTGTAAAGTCCCGAGCCCTACACATTTAGGGACCCAAACCTTTTAAGCGGAGTTTTTTTATAAAAAGACCATTTAGAAATAGCTCCTGGCCAACTACAAAGGTTTTATTCCGACTTGTACTAACCAAATTTGTATATAGTAACTAAACAAAAACATAAAATTATATAATATAAAATATATACAGGGCCGGCTCAGACCGTATGCATCCGTGTGGGGTCTTTGTGAAAAGCTAGATAAAGAGGTATATATCTATCTCTAGCTTTCTAAAAAGGTCCTGCGGACCCTTTTAGAAAGCTAGAAATAGATATATTTTACGCTCGTACATTAGTACTCTTCAAACCCTTCCTTTTTTTTAGATTTTCATAGAAGGCCTTGCAAACTAAACTTGGGCCTCACGCTTGCTCGAGCCGGCACTGAATATATACATATAACAAATGTATAATCCAAACTTAAAAATGATAGTTTAAAGAAAAGAATTTCCAGTTTCAATGTTGAATCATCCTTACACATATTGTTTATCCTAATTCACTCTTTCTTGATCTTCTGTTGGTCAACGCTGCTTTTCTGAGTTCTAGATGACAGTTTTCTAAATGCATCTACAGCATTTTTTACTTCGGGGATGCTGAGACACTCATTAACCACGAGGTTAAGTATATGGTCAACACGTCCAAGGCCTTCCTGAATTTCCTCTGTTAGCTTTATGGCTGCTAACATATTAGCTGAATTATCACTTGTGCAGGTCTTGTTGACATTAGATGGAAGACCTACAATCTCAATTATTGTCTTTTCAAGAATTTCAGCAATGTTTTGAGATATTTTGAGTATGTCTACCCTCTGCACTTCCACAATACACCGGCAGCTTCTCTAGGGTTCAGTTCTTTGAGATATAGTGAAGTGTCAAATCAAGGAATGGATCAAAGTTTCTAAACAAGAAAATAAATATTCTTTTATATAAAATTTTATTACTAACAGGTCATTCTATTTTAATTACAAGGTCGGATTTACCTATAGTCTGACTAGGCCGCGGCCTAGGGCCCTATGATTTTTAAGAAGTTTTTATTTCTCGTTTTATATACAAAATTATCATTGCTATTATATACTTAGTAAATTGAAATATATCTAAATAAATGAAAGAAAAAGTAAATAATTGATTAAAATAAAATAAAAATTTAAATTGATTTCTAACCGGGCGAACAAAAAAATATAATGAAAAAAAATATTGCAAAAATTTAGATTCTACGGAGCCCAAAAAATCTCTTAAAATAATAAATTTAAATTGTTTTTTGATTTTGACGAAAAAATTTTTTTAAGGGCGCCAAAATTTGATTTGACCAAGGACACCGGAGGGTAAATCCAACCCTGGCTATTTGATGCTATTCCCCTTCCCGGTAAAAAATTTACAAAATCCAGTTTTTAACGTATCAAACTTACATTGATGACCACAAATCAGTTGTGAAAGCCACTTCAACGGCATTGTCTTTTAGATCTGTTACAATTTTGTTTGTCACTGCCTCATTGACCAAACAGTTAAGAAGAGGAAGTTTTGCTCTAACCATAGATCTGGCGGACTTCACGTGGAACTTTGGATCCAAGTACTTGACAAAGTTTTAAAACGCTGCCTCGTTGACATGGTTGAAGGCAAGAATACTTCCTGTTAAGTACTTTATCACAGCCAAATCCGATTTCAGCTGGACAAGTGACCTGACATTGTGTTTGACAACCCTCTGAGGTGTGGTTGTGACAAATGAAGCCCTACCACCAATCGGAGACTTCAGAAATAGTTTTTTCTGGTTTGCCTTTTGTTCCACTAAACGACACCTAAATTAAATAATTTAATGATATAAAATGGGTATATTAAATAACTAAATTTGATAACAATATTAACAATGAAAAATTAAAATCATTTTATTTTGAATAATAAAATTTGATGAAAACTGCGATTATACTTTAAAGTCGAATTTAGTCAAAATAAAATTTGTGAAATGAAATCTTACTTTGTGAAGCATCAACTTCAGTTCCGGAATCAGAGAGAGCTGAATCTGAAGGAACAGATTGGTCTCTTTTTTTTTAGAAGTTTTTTTCTCAACTTGGTTGTATATTTTATCAAGCTTCTTATTATCATCCAGTCTTTTTTGATTCCATGCTGCCTCAAATGTAACTACTGCTCTGGTCTGTTCCGGATAAAAAGACCTAATATGAGTTCTCAGGGAACTGGTATTTGAGTTTGGTGTGGGCAGAACGTTTCCACAAATTAGTCCTGTTCCTGCGGTTACTTTGATATGACAAGTTACTCGTGTCTTTTTTATTGACAGCTTGGATTTTTGCAAAATAAGACCACAATTGATAAGTTTTTTTTACCATGTTGACTTGATTTTTAGCTTAATTTTGGTTTAAAATTAAACTCGTTTTTTCAAGAAGTGGTCAAGTTATAAGTGTTTTTTTTTTAGTTGCAATGATTGCTTCATACTCCCTATTGACAATTATATACGATTTGCTCTTTGGAGATGTAATAGTGATTGCACCTTTACAATTCCCTTGGACATTATTTACGCACGAAGGAAATCGTATAATTTATTTAAATGTGCTTTGAACTTGTTGCGCTAAATTTTTGTGTTGATCACGCAATCTTTTCATTAAGGGGCTGTTCAAATAATACGTGACAGTCTTAGGGGGAGAGGGAGTATTAGCAAGTGTCACTAAATGTCAAATGGGGGAGGGGGTGGTTTGCCTCAGTGTGACGTGACAAAAAACATTTTAAATTAAATTGTTTATTACTGCGTAATTAAATTAGTTTGTATTGCAAACTCGGAGGTATTTATATACTGATTTAAAAACTAATTGGTTGTACCTAAAACCCGGCGCGGCCCAACCCGGCCCGGCCCAAAAACCTAAAAGCCGGCCAAGGCCATTTTTTTTCGGGATAAACTAACTAATATAATTATTATATCAAGTTCACAAGTATTAAGGAATAATGTTTTATTTTTTTATAAAAAATATAATATTTTTTTTACAAAGTTGACAAAAAATTATTGAGATTTTATAAACCAGTGATTTATTTTTTCAAATGCATCGGCTACATAAAAAAGTGGTGTAAGAAGATTGGCATGGTGCGCCGGCATTATGACACCAACGATTGCATTGATCACACTGTGACCAATTTAAACGAGCCCCACGGGGTTTAACACAAAACGGTGTGTCACATATATCTTCGTTATTGACGTTAGCGCACATGCGTTGTACTAGTCTAGCACGAATGTATCGACGGTAAAATGTTACAGCCGTTGGATCTACAATACTGATGTCCACCTTGTTGGTAACAGCTTCTGCAAACATTAATGTAAAAATTCTACAACTATTCAACTAATGCTGAGGTGCATTAAAAATAACTTTATCCCATTCTCTAAGTTTATTAGTAACAGATGACCGTGATATCATGTATTTCACATACATATCAAGCTTTGAACTATTATCACCATTAAGGGAATCCGCAATTCCAACTGTATTATCAAGAGTGTTTGCAACTAATAGTGTTCAGTGGTTGTTATTGACGTGGAGAGGTAAAAGAATTCAATGGTATTTGCGTAGACGGACATTTTTATACAGCCAACCATCAAGGTTTTTTTCATGCCATCGCTGAGCCAAAAAAGAAGGCAGGATATAAACTAGATTGCCCTTTGTAGCCTTGTTTATGTCCATAAGTAGATTGAGGTAGGCGTGAATTACAGCATCTTTTATCCACTCATCTGAATTTAGTGTTGCTAAATCGTCACTGTTAAGTGTGCAACTACCGATAACAAATTTTTCATGGGGTAACAGCATATCAGGGCCGGCTTTTAGGTATAACCTTACTAATTTCAAGAGAAATTAAATGCAACGACTTCACGAATAGCGAACGTTTTTTGTTTAACTTTCATTTAACAAAAATTTTTGTTTTTGTTAAATGATTGGATTTGATTAATTTATATTTACTTCGTACAAAATTATTTTTGTGGAAATTGTACGCATAAAAATAAATTCTAATCCTACGAACATAGAACTAGATAGTGGGCAAGTATCTAAAAACGAATTATATTACTATCAAAAATCACATTTTATTTTTTTAACACTATTTATATTAATAGGAATATTAACATTACTCGATATAAATGTAAAGTTGAAAAAAAAAATTGAAAGAACTAAAGCAAATTGAACTTCGAAATGAAGGTGGTATTTTATCTTACTGGACAAAATTACAAAACTATACACCAAAAAAGATTGTGATTGAATCTAAAATCACTTTTGATGACTTGACTGATGCAACCCCATCAATTACAAATAGTGAAAACAGTGAAAAAGGCTTACAAGAAAACTCCAATTCGTTAAAAGTTTTAAAAATACCTGCGCCAAAACAAGATCAGTTAAAGAATGAAATTTTTATTTTACAAAAAGATATCGCATATTTTACTACAAAAAAAATTGCAACTTGTTGTCACAAGAGGACCACCATATATTAAGACAAAAACAAAAACTTTTGATTAAAAAAAACCGAGATCTTGTACTTTGTCAAAAAGCCACTGAACGTCAAACAGCAGCCAGACTAAAAAGAAAAAAAGCAATAGAAGCTTTAGATCCGGATATTAGAAAAAAGTTGCGTCGTATTAAAAATGCAGTATCAAAAGGTCGACCACTAGCCTTTGATCAGGACAGTTTAATTAAAACGATTGTAGATATTGCCTTGAAAGGTTCTGCTTCTAATGATCGGAGAAGAACTGAAATTGTTCGAACTGTAAAAACATTAGATGACTTGGTTGAAGAATTAAAAAACCATGGTTACAATCTCTCCAGATAAGGAGTTTACTTAAGATTACTTCCAAGCAGATCATTGAGCACAGAAGGAAAAAGAAATGTTAATACTGCACCTGTTAGACTAATAAGAAAACAAATGATATCTGAGCATAAATATCATGCAGACACAAAATTTGCCAAATCATCCATTAGTGCCCTTGAAGAACTTGCTGCAGTCTTGGGTCCAAAAGAAGTGACGTTTCTATCCCAGGATGATAAAGCTAGGGTGCCAATTGGATTGACAGCTGCAAACAAACAAGCACCAATCATGATGCATATGGAGTACAAGGTGACTTTATGGAGTACATGATGCATATGGAGTACAAGGTGACATATGGAGTACAAGGTGATTATGATTTTGTAATTGCTCCTCAACACAAACTTTTTCCTTCAGTAATTGCAGCTATAGAAATCAAAAAAGATTGCATGTAAAAAGAAGCAGTCACATACTCTGGCCCAACATACATAGCAATCAGAAGTGCAAAACATGATTCATCAACAGCACTCAGTCACTTAGAAGACATTAATAGAATCAACAATCTTCCTGCATTTGAAAGCAGCTTACTTACTGAAGATGGAGTTAGCAAACCAGTCATGATTATAACTGTTGATAGTGGGCCAGACGAAAATCCAAGATATGAAAAAAAAATTCATTGTGCCAAGACTTATTTCAAAGAGCATGACCTTGATGGCATGTTTGTGGCAACCAATGCTCCTGGCAGAAATGCCTTTAACAGGGTAGAGAGAAGAATGGCTCCGCTAAGTCATGACCTTGCAGGAATTATACTTCTATTTAATCATTTTGGAAGCCATCTTAATTCAAGAGAAGAAACAACAGACAAACTTATGGAGAAGGCAAATTTTGCCAAAGCTGGCGAAGTTCTTGCACAAATTTGGTCCAGCACAGTCATTGATGGATTTGAAACTATTTCAGAGTACAAAGAACCAAACAGTGAAAATCGTGTACAATTAAAGCAGTTTAGAGCAGAGTGGGATGCTAAACATGTCAAAGAAAGTCAATACTTGCTTCAAATTGTAAAATGTAATGATTAAAACTGCTGTGGTCATCGTTGCAGCTCACTGTTCCAACTAGTTTTCTTCCTCCACCAAATTCTTTGTTCCAAGGAGAAAATGGCCTTGAGTGCAATAAAACAAAGAATAACTTTGCAAGCCTCTTTTTAAACTTATCACTAAGCAAAACAATTTTTCCCAAGACAATTACAAAAAAGTTTCCCAAAGGATTGCCATACGAGTACTCATGTCCGAGCATTCAAAGTTCCTTACCAAAAAGAATTTGTACCAATTGTATTCTATATTTTGCCACGATCAAATCAATGAAACAGCACTAAACAGTTTGCTCAAGTATTGGATTATCGAATGAGATTCAAAAAGTTAAACCTCATCGCCTAGTTGCTCAACGTCTATCTGAACTCATGTGTGTCTTTTTAAATTCAGACAAAGAAACAATTGAATGGCATGATCAGGACGATGTTGATACCTCTGATCTCAACTGGCCTTCAATAATTATTGAAGAGCATAGAACTCCAATACTTGAAGGTCAAAGTCCAATTTGGGAACAAATTTAGAACATGTTTCTTAAACAGAAACATGTCAATTGTATTTTTTTTTTTTATATGAACTGTTACAATTAAATAGACACGTGTGAAAATTCCAAACTTTTGTCTTTGTCACGTCACACAGGGGTGACGTGACAAAGACAAAGGAGAGGGTCTCTAAAACTGCCTAAAAAAGTGTCACGTATTATTTGAACAGCCCCTTAAATACCGAATTTTTAATTGTTACATTCTTGCTTAAAAATGTTAAATTTTTTTATACCCACAAATAAAAGTATAAAACAGAATAAGCCAATAATGTTTTAGAATTTTATTGTAAAGCTTAATTTTGTTGCAGCGCTTGGAACTATTTTATTATTGCTTAAAAAACTGTGTCAATTATAAATTCAATTCGAAATTTGATCAAATTTGAAACTCAAATTCGAATTTCAAATTTTTCAAATTTATATACAATTAATCAGAATTCGAAATTAAAAATCGAATTCAAATTCAGATCTTAAATTCGACAAAATTTGAAAAAACTTGTGGAAATCAAAATAATTTTATTAATAACTTGAAAAACATGATAAGTGTATATTTTTTGCAGATGATTTAAATATAGATGCTTTACATTACAAAAACTTTTCCAAAATTAAATCTTTTTTTGAATCTTTACTTGAATTTAAAATAATTCCGACTATTTTTAAACCAACAAGAATTACGCAAAAAAATTCTGCCATTGACAATATTTTAACAAACAACTCTTTTAATTCTGATTTTGAATCTGGTATTTTAATTTCTAATTTTTCTGTTCGTTTCCCTATTTTTTTACATTGCACGTGATATTCTATCTAATAGTGATAATAAAAATGTCTTGTCACTAAAAAAAACCTTACTAAAAAAAATCTCGATAATTTAAAAGATAAACTATTTGAGGGTCCTGGAAAAATGTATACTCAGCTAAGAATCAAAATCAGGCATTTAGCAACTTTACGGCTACTTTTAAATGTATTTTTGATACTGTCTGTCCTATAATAACATCTGAAGTAAAAAAAAAAAGAGTTAAAAAATCCATGGATGACGAGTAATCTTATAAAATCGTCTAAAAGAAAGCAAAAACTTTATATTAAATTTTTGAAATCAAAGGATGAAGGTGATGAAAAAACATACAAAGCCTATAAACAGTTTTTTACAAAAAAATGTTAGACAAGCTAAAGTAATGTATTATTCTACTGATATTTTGTTGAGCTACTTTTTTGATATAACAATTTTGATATAATAATTTTTGATATAACAATTTTTGATATAACAATTTTTTGATAACAATTTTTTGATATAAGGGATATTCTACTACACCAGACAATATTTAATAAATAAAAACAAATTAGACTTAAAAAAACATGGTGGATTATAAACGAAGTAACTGGTAGAGAAAAAAAGAAATCCTTTAGCATACCACAGAAAAAATTGTGATAATGAATAAATAAAAACTATTCAGTAAAAGTAAGAATAAAAAATTCTTACTTTTACTGAATAGTTTAAAATTATATAAAATCCTTTAGCATACCTCAGAAAAAATTGTGATAATAAATACTTTACAAATAAATCAGATATTTACCATGACCTTAACAAACACTTTGTAAATCTTGGTCTCAGTCTAGCTTCAAAAATATTGATGTCAAATAAAAAGTTTGATGAATTTATTGGAGAAAAACCCCTATTGCGTATATCAAATGAAATATTATCCTATAAAGAATTTAACAAAGCTCTGGCTGAACTGAAGAAAAATAAGTCAGGCGGATATGATTGCATTACTAGCAATGTAGCAATGTATACACGTCATTGAATGTATTCGAAAACCCTTTTTTCATTTAATATCATCTTTTTTTCACAGTACTTTTTCTGATATGTTAAAAGTTGCTAAGTCAATCCTGTTTATTAAAAGCCGTTTGTAATTAAGAAAAAGTCAAGTGTTCTTGATATTGAGTGAGGGGTCCTTCAAGGCTCAATCTTAGGACCGTTATTATTTTCATTTTAAAAATACATTTAAAAGTAGCTGTAAAGTTATTAAACGCCTGATTTTGATTCTTAGCTGAGTATACATTTTTCCAGGACTCCTCAAATAATTTATTTTGCATCAATTATAAGTAATTTACATCAATTACATGCATAAAGCATCATCTATAGTAATTTCAATGTATGCTGATGACACAACTTTATTTTATAATCATAGTAATTTAAAATTGATGTTCGAAATAACAAATACTGAACTGGAAAATTTTAATTTATGGTTTAGAGCAAATAAACTATCTTTAAACTGTGAAAAAACAAACTTCATCTTATTTCATAAAACAGGTCAATCTATGTTTCTACCATTAAAAATTCCAGAGTTGCTCATTAACAACATAACAATAAAACGGGAAAAGTATGTAAAGTTTCTTGGTGTTCAAATTCAGAACAAACAAGCAAAAATGGGTAGAAACATGATTCCATAGCGTAAAGTTAGGTGACGTAATGTTTATTTTTTGGCGAATAATTAAGTATTTAAGATGCAAAAAGCATTGTTAAGTTATTTGTTTTATGCAATGATTTTATGTGAATATTTAATTATTGGTCATGCGTGGTAAAATGTTTTTTTCAATAGTAACTCAATACAAAATTTGTGAAACATGATTTTATACTATAAACAAATGTTTTTATACAATTTATATTTAAATCATGATATTAGAATATTATTTGTGATCATAATATCAAAGTGAACCGCGATTGTTAAGATATTTTGATAATAAAGAAAACTAAATCATAACATGTTTACTGTAGTTGGTTTGTTTATTAGTCATTTTGTGAGGATGGCTAAGGAATTATTTCTAAAGTTATAACAAGCACATTCTTGAGTTTTATCTTTATTTTTTAATCTTAGTGCTTCTACTATGATAAGAAACTTTATGCAAACAACAACAACAAATAAAAGCAATAGGAGCAACATTTATTTTATAATAACAGTAATAATAATGAAAATAATAACAATAAAAATACCTATAATATCATAAATAATAAAATCATAATATCATTATATTATCCAGGCTTATACAATTGTAATTGCTATCTCTAAAGCTATGGTTTTGGTTTATATTTTAGCCGATTTAAAAATCAACCTGTTATACACAGGGTATATACAAATGAAAATACCATATTGAATTCTGGTGTATTTTTGAAGAACATTTTTTTTCAAAAAGTATTAAAGTTTTTGTGTGCAAGAATAGAAAACTAAAGATTTTCAAATTAAAGAAAAATATGCATCATGTTTTCGATGATATTTTTGTCTATCTTTTTACGTAACATGGTTTGATCAATTTTTACAATGTTCCTCATCTAAATTGGCAGGAAAAAAGTTTATAAAAAGTATACAGTTTTATAGCAAGTTAACAAATCTACTTTTAACGAAGCTTAAAATAAAAAGTTTGCAAAATAGTGTATGTATAGATTTATGTTCTGCTGTTGTTCATTTACTATAAACAAGTATATGAATTTGGAAATGGAAATTTAGTTCAACGCCAATAGCAATTGTGATAAAGTAATTTAAGATCATTTAAAGTTCAAGCACCTGAAAATGGTCAACTTTTTGTTTAATATAGATTGCTGTTCCAAATACAAATTGCAGATATGATCCAATACTTTATGTCAAGCAAGGTTCAAATTTTAAACCAAACAAACTTACTATCTGTTGATCTTCTACTTTGTTTTGAAGTTATGAGTTCAGATAGATATGTAAAACATTTAGTTTACAATTTTTTTTATGGCTTTTAAGCCATAAAAAAAATTGTATATCTTTAACTAGTAACCAATAAATGTATATGTCTTTTACTAGTATAAAATGTATATCTTTAACTAGTAACCAATGATGTAATTTAAAAGTTTTATTTTTACAAATTTTAATTTGAAAGGAGAACAACATACATTATTAAATAAGCTATAATTTGAATGCATATATTTAAATATAGGGAAGATCAATCACCCCTTTATATGTATATATAAATATATATATATATATATATATTTTTATATGTAAGTTTTGATTTATATGTAAGTCTGTACAAAGATATAATTTTATATAGCTTTATATTTTATTAAAAGTATGTTTTAATTATATTTTAATATGTTTTAATTCATGTTTTTAATTTTTTTTTTTTTTTTTTTTTGTTGATACAAAAGATGTTTTGTTCAAAACAGATCAGCCAACCATATAAAGGACAGATAAAACTGACCCTCATCTCAGGCTTAAGGATCAATTAATGCAATTTTTCAAAAGCTTCTTTTGAAGTATGCAACCCTGATGTCTTGATGGGCACAATCACATGGAAGTAATGTAATATTAAATTAAATATTAAAGCATAAAATTTGCATTTACTTTACTTTGCTCTAACATCAAGTAATAATAAAAGTCCCAAACCATATTCAATTAAAAATAAGTTTTTAACTTGTAAGTGAATCAAATTAAATTAAACATTTTATTTTTGTTTTTTTAGAT